TTTTTCCCCACCGTCACCTAGAAATTCGTGCGATACGAGCGAGCGACGGTGGCCGTGCTCGACGCGTCGGCACTCGTCGATATAATCGATCCGCGCGGCGGCTCTCTCTCGCGCGGCGAGCAATCGGGGATCCAAGCGCGCGTCGTGTCCTCATCGGCGATCGTTTCCGCGCGAGGGAACCGCGTTCGACCGGCGTTAATCCCGATCCGCGCGGAACCGAGTCGCGGAAGGAAACGCGGCGAGCTCTCGACTGCGGAGGGAACCAGACGTCGTCGACGATGACGACGACGACGACGACGACGACGACGACGATGAGCCCTCCTTTTTTTCCCCGGCTTATCGAAAGCCGGCGGCGACGCAGAGGCGGGACCAGAAGGCGGGAATTCCGATCGCGCGCAGAATCGGCGCGCAACGGGCTAGCGCGAATTGATTCGTACGCCGCGATTCAATCTACGAATTCTTCGCCGTTCCAGGCTTGTCCCGGTTCTCCGGCGAACGACGGGAAAGGGGACGGGGAAACGGGAATGGGACGAGTCTCTCCGTGTCCGCGACGCGCGGTCTCGCGCGGCTTTAATCGGCACGATTGTCCTGCGCTGGCCGGACGACAAAATCAATCCCCCGGTGAGAAACAAAGGCGGCCGCCATGAAAAATCGTCGTGGCCGCTGCTGGCTAGCTCGCTCGCTCGCACGCTCGATCTTCTCGCGCACGCGAAACCCACGCGTATACATGCGAGCGTATTTACGTACGTTCATCGGTTGGCATGTGCCCGTGGCACACGCGACGACCAAATGGCGTGACAGTTATGGTGCATTTGCGGGACGCGTGCCACCGTACCGGGTGTCTGCTTAGAATCAATTGACGCGTTCGGAGCGGTGCTCCGCGAGGACACGCTCTCTTTCGCGCGGTTATCGGATCGCGCTCGATCGATAGGCTCGCGGGAACGTTCGATCGCGGGGAGTGACGTTTTTCGAAGATTCTTTCGATTCGTCGTCGGTTTCGCGTTAAGGGCCGTCGGTCGTTTCGGCGAGGCATCGATCGCGGTTGGATAGTACACATGGTATACGACTGGAATACGCGGAATTCTCGGTTTTTCGCATTTCCGGTGGATATTTGTCTTCGGAATTGGCAGTGGCCGCGAGCTACGGAAAATTGGGAAAACCGGTGACGATATCAGCGAACGAACGCTGGTTCCCGGCCGAGTATTCGTCGCCTCGGCTAACCGGCAGTTACGCTCGTCGCGTTGCCACGATAACATTCAACTATTCGGCGGCCTTTGGATAAGGAAGCGGAAAAATTCCGTTATCGCCCTCGTCTATCGTCGACCGCGCCGGCGAATGCAACCGGCGCTGAATCCGGCGTTTCGGCCTTTTAGAGGATGCTAGCCGAGTGGTCTGGGCGTCGTTTCCGCGGAACGATTCCTGCTGGAAACGGGAAATTTCGTTCTATCGAGACGTCGGCGGGATCGGATCCGCGCGGGAAGGAAGGAGAACGAGGGGAACGGTTGGCGAATGTGCGCGTAATAGCCGCGGCGATTCGGTGTGTCATAATTCCCGTGTTGCGACACATTGCCAGATACTGGGGCGTGCGTGCTGCCGCCGCGCCGCGGCCTTCGAAAAACCACCACGTCCGGTCGGTTTCTCGGGCATGCGATTTTGGTGATTCTCGCATGGACGCGCGTTGCATGTGCTATCGCGGCCTACCGATCTAGATAGTTGCGCCGAGGAACTTTTCGTGATCCGTCGATACCTGGTATCGCACCTGCCGTCGATGCCCTCGATCGCGATCCCTCGTCGCGTCTCTTCCGCGAGAGGGCTGTAAACGACGTCTTCCGGTCGCGACTTTGATTCCGGTACCGTCGTCACGGAATAGTTTGAGATCGTAGACGGGAAGGTTGACAAGATCGGGGTTCGATCGTCGCGATTCGAACGATAACGCGTGTGGTAACGGTCTCCGCGCGGAGGTCCCGGTGCTCGTCATTGTTTGATGTAGTTACGGTGGTGTCGCAGGTCTGGAACGGGTAGCGGAGGAGTTGATGGGCCGTAGGAGATGGAAGCAATATCAGGACACCCTGTACAGCGGTACTCGCAGCAGCGAATCAGTGACGGCACAGCCCCACCACCGGCTTTACCCGGCGTTTTCGTCGTCCTGCGACCCGGTGCCCGGCAACTTGGAACAAATTGGGCCGCGTGCGCTTCATCCCGCGTCCACCTCGTTACCCACAACGATCACGACGACAACGAGCACGGCGTCGGCGGCGACGGCGGCGGCAGCAGCAGCAGCAGCAGCAGCAGCAGCAGCGGCAGCGATAACGACGGCCAGCACCATCAGCACAGCAGCGGCAACAACGGCGACGACGGCGTCGACGACAAGCCTGGTCAAGCAGGAGAGCCTGCAAAGGCACCCCCTGCAAAACCACCATCACCTCCAATCATCGGTACAAGATCACCATCGTCACTATCAGCAGCAACAAGAGGACCAGCGACGTCTCAGGCCGGACGAGGTAAAGGTCGAGATCGGGGAGGACGAGTTCCCGAACGGTGTCGCGCGGGAGGAGCCGGCTGCGAAGGCGACGGAGGCGTCGACAGCGACAACGGTAACAACGGCGACGACGGCAGCGGCGGCGGCGACGGCGGCGACCACAGGCACGAGCATCGCCACCAGCAGCACGAACAGCACCGGCACGGTCCCAACGATCGCGTCGGCGAACGCGACGGCCACCATGACCACTGGCACGACCACGATCCCCACCAGGCGGAGACGCAAACGCCGGCAGAACGACGGAGACGGTGCCACGGACGACAGAGAGGACGACGAAGAAAACGAGGAAGAGGAGGATGCCAGGTGCCAGAACGAGGCGGAGAAGAGGCTCAAGCTCGATCAGGATGCCGACAGGCCGGTCAGTCCTCTCAGAAGGGAAAAGGATCGAGCAACTCGGGACTATCCGACTGCCAACGCTACCGATACGGAAGGGACCAAGGTTCGTGCGCGACTCTCCGTTTAGCTTTAACCATTTCAGAGGACATGCCGCTCCGTGTTGCTCGGGAGACATCAAAGAAAGCGAGTCTAATTGGGTGGCTTTCGTTTGTTACGCGTAGCCAATCGAAACCGCGAACATAGCAGGAGACTCCTCTTGCCCGAGCAACATGGAGAGTACGGTCCACGCGAGGAGAGTACCGTTGGCTGGTAGCCTGAATTTATACACTTAACGTTCAGCTTGAAAAGGGTTTACGATCGTTGACGATCCGGGCGCTAACCACCGGTGCGATATTTCAGGAACGAACGGAGGAAGTCGCGTTGGTGCGGACACCGGTGACGCAGGGCTTGCTGAGAGTGAAGAAAGAGGAGGAGTTACAAGAAGCGCCGAGTTCTGGAGGCGGACCAACGATACTGACGATACCGGCTCCGGATTCGGATGGGACCAGGTCAGGGTTGCCGTGTCGGGAGGTTGACACGGCCGCTAGAAACGCGGTGCCGCCGTTTCTCATTGGAGGCCGACGTACCAGCCCACCACCGGAAGACTGGAAGCCAATGGACAAATGCTACTTCTGCCTGGACGGCAAGCTGCCGCACGATGACCAACCGCCCCTCGTAAGTACGCTTCCTTTCCGCCCAGGCTCCGTCTCCATGCTTGTATCATGCGTTTTCATGGTCGTCTCATCTTCGACGCATCCGACCGAAGGAATAATCCCCCGCGACGTCTGATCGGGAGAACGTACCCGGCGAACTCCGGGGGCCCGGCGTAATCGAATTGATCGCGGCCGCGTCGCGGGAGAGGACAACGCGGCGTCCCCGGCGCAAAACGTTCAATTTTTTATCGTTCGCGCGAGAAGCACGGCGCGGCCGTTCGCCCATGGCGGCCTGCGCCGCGGCTTTTGATCGCTTTGATCGCGCGGCCGGCTTATAAAAGTTTCACGAAGGTCGGCCAGCGCCGCCTCGCCCTCGCCTCGCCTCGCCTCGCCTCGCCACGTCTCGCTTCGTCTAGCCTCGCCTCGCGCGCAAAACGAATTCGAAGCGAGATTCGATCCCTCGTCCTCCGCGGCCGCGGCCGGCGAGGACTCGCGCCTCCCTTTTTCATGATCAGTTTCTTCCCTCCCACGCCGGCGGTAATCAGTTTCCTTCCTCCGTGTATATCGTCGACCAATGACGACGAGCCGGACCAACATAACATTCCTCTCGATGTCGCGTCCTGCAGAGCCCGCAGAGCGACAGCAGCAGCAGCTCGCGATCGGCCGAGTCACCGATGTCGGTCCAGGTGGACCCGATGGCGGCGTCAGTGGTCGCCGCGGCCCTTAGCGGCACCTACCCCACCCTGCTGCCCCAATGGTGTCTGCCACCAAGGGAAGCGCCTCTCGTTGGGGTGCAGGCACACCAGGACAGCGCGACGCCAGTCGATCAGCCGCTCGACCTCTCGGCCAAACCCAAAAATTCTCAGGTACGTATGGTGCCTTCTGGCGTGGGTAGATGGAGTGGAATTCTTTCTCTTCCCAGTCTATCTCTTTCTGTTCATTGTTTTTTTGATCTTCTCCCGAGTATCATCAGAGTTGCACACATACAGCAGCCGTCTGTACACATTGTTCGCCCTTAACGCCCGACGGAACGATTAATCGAGATGGAGGAACGCATGTATCCCTCCCTCTGACCCCACCACCCATGTAACCCCCGTCTACTCCCCTCTGCCCCACCCCCCTTTCTGTGTGTCTGTTCGCGAAACGGAACGGATCGCATGGTGTCGATTGTATCCTCTCGTTTTCTGTCGCAGGACAACAACATATCGCTTCTGGAACAACAGAAAATACCTCTAAGGATGCCGGCAGGTATCGACCCCAAGAGTATCTTTAAGTAAGTAATCACTCGCTGCTTATTCACCGGCGGATAGTCTACCTCGAGATGCACCGACGTGGAAACTACGAATTCCCCGGCAGCCGGTTTCCGGTTCCGTTCAAATTCGCCCGCGGTCACCGGCTGACCGGAACGAACGCCGCGACTCGTTTCACGCTTTCCGTCGCTCCCCGATACGCGCATTCCGCGGATGGCCGCGCGTGCCGCGCGCGGCGGGGGCGCGGAGCCGAGTCGAGCGGCAATTTAGCGGACAACGCGCCGTCAACCGAGGGCTGATCGCGTTCCAACGGTGACGCGCGGCGGCTATCGTCGAAACGATCGAGCCTCGTGCCCAGCTACTCGCGCATTATGTAAAAGTTGTATCACCGAGCAGACGGAACAGCGTCGCGGGTAATTAAAAAGTTCCCGCGGCGGCGTCTGCTCCGATTTTTCCCGGCCGACTCGTTACGAATTTATCCGCAGGAAAGTCCGCGCGCGCCGCGTCTATCCCTTTCCTCCATTTTTCCGTTCGTTACGATTTCACGGTCGGTCGCCCGTTCGCCTGAAATCGCGCTCGCCGCGGCGCGTTATCCGCGAATTAATCGCTCCGCGAGAATTCGCGCATCGTTAGAATTATCGCGCTCCCGCGAACCTTCATCCGCGGTATCGCTGCCGGCTATCGCGTTTCGTTCCGAAGGGTGACTCGAAAATCGCCAGGTGAAACCTCTCCGTTACGAATCGGCCGCGGGAGCCCGGCCGAAGATGAACGGAAGAGAAATCGGAAGTCGCCGCTCGGGTACGACCGACCGACCGGCGGCGGCGGCGCGCTGTTGAATTTTCCCGCGAGCGAGTTCAGCGATTTCCAAATCGCGGCCGGGGAACGGCGAGATAAGGGCCCGCGGCGAAGCGATCCGCGAAAAGTAAATACGCGACGCTCGAACGCTCGCCGAGGGAAAACGAGAGGAGGGAGCCGAGGGCGAAGGAAACGGCGGCGGTGGGAAAAGGGGAGCGGCGCGAAGTCAAAGTCGCGGAGCGTGTCCGTACGTTGCCCCCGTGTTTTCGCTGTTTTCCCCGCGGAGGATTTTGCGCGTCAAATTTTTATCGTCGTCTATTATTAGTCCACCGTAATCTGCACCTCCTGACACAACGAAAGCGCGAAGCGTGTACCTCGCTGCCGCGGTAGTACGCGCTACGAGCCGGCCGAGAAGGATCGCGCGAGTCGTGGAGGAGCGAGGCCGCGGAGAAAACGAGACGGGGACCGCGCCCGCGCGCATGCGCCCCGCGGTAATTAACGATAAGATAGCCCGCCGTCGAAACCGCGCCGGCAAAGTCGAAATTAGAAGCTCGGACTCGATCGTCCGGACGATCGGCTTTCCCGTCGAACAACGGAGTCATGGCACGCGCGAGTCATCGGGCATGAGGACAGAATCAAGAGGAGACTAACGAACGCTTTTGACACTGGAACCACGAGATCGGTAAAAATGACTCATCCGTGAGTTCTCTTAGCAGTACAAAATTTAATAGACGCTCGTCACGGGGGATATTCCGGAAATTCAAAGTTCCAGAGATTATGGAACTCTAAGTGGAAGAAGTCAAGCCTGATAGAATTTTGTCTAATCGTAGGAAGCTCGACTTCCACTTACGCGAGTTTCATAATTTTTCGAATCTTCGATAACTTCCGTTGTCAGTGATACGAATCGTCTCCGCGAAATAAATTCAGGATCGATCGGAGTGTCGATAGATGCACTGTAAGAGTTTCTACGGAGGAATTTCTAAACGTTCGACTGGTCGCCGGTAGTTCTAGTGTCGGATCGCTCGATAGGTGTTGCGATTCGTTACAGCGCGGGGACGGGTCCAACGAAATGCACTTTTATCAACGCGCGTTCCTCCGCAGCCGAACGGGTCGACGAACTCATTAGGGGTGGGGGATGTGGAGCCACCGATCCGGAGTGGGGGAGTTCTTTGTACGACAAATTCTTTCGGTTAATCTTATCGCGGAACAGCGAGACGAATTGCAATGGCCCGACGCGACTGTCACGCTCGCGCGGCTCGAGCGAAGGAACTTTTTATCGGCCGGCTCGACGGTCGCCCCGTGCGCGCTTGTTTTTCGCCCGGCGAGTTTCCCCGGTTTTCCCGCGAGCCGAGTCTCCCCGGTTGCGCAACGCGCGGCATCGACTTGTCTAATTTTCGCGGCCGGATTTCGTTCTAACGCGGCGCGCACCGGAGATCAAAGTGTTAACGAGAGACACGCCGCGTCGGATCGATTCGCTTCTCGTGCGGAACACGTGCGCGTACCGCTCCGGCCACGTGGCCGCGCGTACGGACGGTGCTCGCGGGTTAGCCGATGAACCATTTATACACGTGAGCCACGCTCGCGCGAAAACTATACTCGGGGATAACCGAACTTCGTTACGCCGGCCCGTACCAATATTCTCCGGTGGTCGACCAATTAACGGACAACCTGCCGGCACGTAGTCGAACACGCGGAAAACTTGCCGGCTACGCGCAGCTACCCCTTTGAGCGCCTGCCTCGCGCTGATGGGAAGTCGGCGGCTCGAGTAGAGGCGAAGAGGTCTCGCGTTCATCGATTGTACTAGTTTACAGTATCGACTACCGTGAAATCCTATCGAAGAAACGTTAAGGCTGAGAAGTTACCCTATTGCATCCCCGAAAAACGTCTTCTATCAATCTTAAACCAGTAAACTACACACCGGTTAACTGTAGTTCCATAGACATAGTTACTCTAACCCAAAGTGATAGACGAAAGAAATGGAAGGTTCGCTCTCGAATTGCCATGATTAGACACGTCGAAGTCACGCGAGTGGTTAACAAAGGAGGCGGTAACGCGTACTTCGTCGGTGCATCGACGACAGGTGTTCGCGCGGTCTACGGGGCGGCAAGGGGGGTTGGAGAAAGTTTAAAGGTGGCACGTGGAAATGTGTTCTAGTTCGTGTTACCGCGCGAAACCGCGTATGACCGGGCCGGTGGCTGTGACGGCGGCGGCAGCTGCGGCGGCAGGCGTCGGTGGTGTCCCCGTGGTGGGTGCCGGGGGCGGCCGGAGGGCCTACACCGAGGAGGAGCTGCAGTGCGCCCTCAGAGACATCCAGAGCGGCAAGCTCGGCACACGAAGGGCGGCCGTGATCTACGGAATACCGCGTAGCACCCTGCGCAACAAGGTCTACAAGCTTGCGATGGAGCGCGAAAGGGACGCGTCCCTGTCTAGCACCCACTCACACCCTCACGAGCCCGGCGCCCCAGCCACCACCACCACCACCATCACCACCACCACCACCACTACTACAACTACAACTACAACAACACCACCAAATACGACCCAAAACGCCTCCGCGACCACTCCGCCCCCGCAAGTGGACGAGGTAGGTTTTGGGGACAGAACAAGAGAGAGGAAAATGAGAGCGAGAGAATGATTGGAATTTTTTAGGCAGACGGACGTGGAAGAATGGGTGGGAGAGAAAGAGATAGATTGAGAGAGCGAGAGAGGTGTTTGCGAAAGAGGGATGGAGAAAGAGTGAAAGAGGATAGCGGAGAGTAAGGGAAAACGTCGTGACGATACGATATTCGCCATTGCCCGATATTTTATCATGGTACCCCGATCCCGGCGACGTCGGCGCCCAACACCGGTGCGAGTGCCTTGCCGACGGGGCCCTGAAACGTGCAGGTTCCCACAGAGAATTGAGAATTGGCGAAAGACGAGGAGTAGATTGCGGAACGAAAGGTAGCCACCGAGTCTCTACGGATAGAGGGAACGGTTCCAGGGGTGTCTGGGTAGGGAGGCGCAGGGATGATTCGAGATCACGCTTCTTCTGGCACCGGCGGCACTAGTTTCGTTCCCAACGTCCGGCAAGAGTCGTCACGCTCGGGACGCTGTTTCGCATTCGATGCCCGATAATCGTATCAGCGACGGTACGAGGAGTCGCCCGCAGGTTCGGAGTGATTCCATTCCGATCCGCGTCGTTCCAGCCCCGCTCCGCGTGGAAGTTAACCGCGCGTTTCAAACAATAATCCGATAGAAACGTCGATAAGTATAACCGGTAGCCACGCGTGTCTTTAACGCTCGCGACGGCCTCGTCCCGGCCGTTCCATTCCGCCCGTTTGCGACGCGATCCGATCGAGTGCTACCGGTACGGTTCGTTTCTGGCCCGGCGCCGCGTCGCTGGCCGCCGGTTATCGCTCGGGGGACGATCGTCTTCGGACGCGCGGTTCATCTCGAACGGCGGACAAAGCGCGAGGATTAGGGGATGGCCGGATGTGAGCGGGCTGGAGGATCGCGCCGATGGTCGATCGCGCGGGGGATGCCCGCCCGTTTTGATTAAAAGTGTGGTTTTGGTTAGGAAGAACGAATGGAGCTTCCCCAAAACATACCTCTGCCACGGTGATCGTAGATTCCGCGTGGACCGATCGTCGTTCGTAATCGTCGAACGAAGGCGCAAATTGTCCGTTCAG